CTTGTCTAGTCCCAACATCGTAGTTACTGCGTTATGAAATGATGGTTATGATGAACATAGAATTACTACACCAGCTATGATTACTATTGTATGCTACTAAATGATATACCACATGTTTGGCACATGTTAGTTGCTAATCTAGAGATGAATAGTTATAATTAACTTGATGACCGAATTACAACTGTATACTTGAATTGGGTAGCTTTTTATGCAAAATGTGTCAAGCTAGCTCCACGTATATAGCCTTGCATAATCCTTGGAGTCATTTTATTTTTGGTTTATGACGGATAAGTCTAGCTAAGTACCTTCTTGTACTTAGGGTTTTATTTTCCATTGTTGCAGATGGTACAGTTTATCATGGCTATTGCAAGAACTTCTTCTGTCCCACCGTGGATGAGGAGTGAGCCCTAGGCAGGCATATCTTATTAATCCTTCTTATATGCTTTTATGGAAGTGTGATCGAGGGCTGGCACTATGTTTAAACAATGTTGCAGATGTTGGTTTTCAAACTTTTAATTTGCTTCCGCTACTATTTTACTTGAACTTGGTTTGTAATAACCTAAATTCGTACTCTGATGGATGAACTGTATTTGTGAACTTTATGTAACGTGTGACATATATGTTGAATCATGTACGATCTTGGTTGTATGTTGATGGTTAATTGAAACCCTTCGTGGTACTCGTCGGACAACCGGGTTTATATGGGCTCAAGTATGACAGAGCGACCGTTTACGGGCTGCCATTGTACTTGTGCTCTTATAAATTGGTCGGTTCTGCTACAATTTATGAATGTAATGATTATATCTATATGCTTTGACTTCAGTAAGCTATTAAGGGTCCAGCTAAATTAGTAAATATTGTGAAACCAGATAAAATTCTATCATCGTCGGATATAAGTACCGCCCATTGTTTTGTTATCACCGCCGCAGTTGGTGGTGCAAACGTCCAACACCGTCGTTATACGTATGATGCGGCAGGGATCAAAAGTGTATCTCCATCGAATCATTTAGTAACCTTACATTGACTAAAGGATCATCAAAGGCGAATCATGCTGCAAGGTGATGATGACCATGACCTTTGGACTGGCGGTTCATACGTTCAAGCGACGGTGATGTTTACCTCGACACAGACGTCTCGGCCATCGAAGCATCAGTGTACCCACACTACAGACAGTCGGGTCGAAGTACAAGGCGATGGTGCTGGTGACCACTACACAGGCGATTGATGTATCCAAATGACGGTGATGTTAGCCTCGACATAGGTGGACATTGACCAATGCGACAGTGTTGAGGTCCTTCATAGTCGGTTGTAAGCCGCCCGTGATGACTTCAACTATCACCATCGAGTGTTTACTACTGAGGCCAAAATACGTCTGTGATGGGGGGTTGTGAACCGACTGTGGTAGGTTTACTGTAGTAGTGATCATCACTATAGAGCTTCTGGCCAAAATGTTGTGGGCCTCGTTCTCTCTGGTACACGGTGGCAGTCACACCACAAACGCGATTGGTGTGGTTTCGCAAGACTACAAGCTCCTTCTATATACAACCATGGTGCGCGCAAGCACCGAGTAAGCAAAAGGTTTGCAAACCTTACTAACACTAGGCCTAAATCTAGAGTAAGCACATTAGCGGTCGTCTAACTAGCCTAAGCACTTCACAAAGCACCTACACTAATCACTTAATATTTCCCTAAGCACTTTTGATGGCTAGAGCATAAATAGATGAGCCTCAACTCTCCACACACCTCTCTTAGTTGAAGCACACCTCAAATGGCCGAGCAATTATATATAGCCCCAACATCCAAAACTAGCTGTTACTAGTCGTTACATACCTTTTTGTGAGGATCGAAATGTTCCTCTACCATCGGAACAATTCGGATTGTTCCTATGGCCTTCAGAATATAAGCATCAGAGTATAAGTTATCTTGTTTTCCCATTTGCCTTGTGATAATTGGATGGATTGTTCCTATGACCATCGGAGTATAGCATCGAAGTATAAGGTGCCATTGTTTTTAGCAAGACACACTTCCGTATTTTGGGTTTAACTTTTAGCTCGATGGTGTTAGACTTTTTGGAAAGCTAATGAAAAGCTCTAAAACTTAGAAATGATATCATATCAATGTGAGAAGATCCAAAATCATGAGACAAGTTCAATTCATCCATCTCTTGTCTTGGCTCAGTGACTTCAATTTTGTTTGTGTTTAAGCTTCTGGACTTGTACTTTTTGGTGTCTTAAACTTCTAGCATGTATTCTAGATCTTCAACATAACTTATGATGTCTTGCTTGAGATGTTGATTATCCGAATCATCACTTTGGCTAAGTCTAAGTCCACCTTGCATCTATCTAAACTATACCTTGCATACTAGCAAACATCATTAGTCCAAATAATCATGTTGATCATCAAACACCAAAATTCAAATATAATGGCCCAAAGGGCCCATTTTCCTTACAAAGCTCACTCAACTGATGTGTGGAAGAGCATCATATGAAGTCGGGCATGCGGATAGCATGGTGGATAGGCATGGGATGAGGACGAATACATGTTGGGCAGAGGGCGAGGTCGAGAAGAGATGACCGAGCGAGGAAGGAGTGCGCATCTAGGTCCTGCTTGTTAGTGCACGCGGATCGCAGGTGGAGTAGGTAGAGTGAACGGGACAACGAATTCAGGCGAGTACAACAGGAGATGGGTGGGTATAGCGGATAAGTAAATAATTCCTCGGTGACAAAAAAATGGTGCGGGAGAGTGCACTAGTATCGAATTGAATGGCAGACACCATGTAAAAGGATACATTTCTGATGTTACCGATCTGGCCCGTTTGCCAGTTTGGGGTGGAAGTTTAAGGAGAATTGGATTTAAATCTAAAAACACATATAAGGGGTGAGACATGAGGAGGGTAGGATTTGGTTAGGTGAGAGTTATTTTTTCAATTCATTCACTCTTTTATAGTATAGAGTAGATAGATGTAGATAGATAGATAGATGGATGGACAACAACAACAACATAGCCTTTTAGTCCCAAGCAAATTGGGGTAGGCTAAAGTTGAAACCCACCAAGAGCCCAAGTTATGGTTCAGGCATTTCAATAGCTGCTTTCTAAGTACTCCTATTTAAACATAGATCTCTAGGTATATCTCAAGCTTTCAAATATCTTTTTATTGTATTTTCCCATGTCAATTTTTGTCTTCCTCTACCTCTCATATTATTAACTTGGCTTAGGACTCCACAATGCACTGGTGTCTCTAGAGGTCTCCTTTGGATATTGCCAAACCACCTCAACCGATGTTGGATAAGTTTTTCTTTAATTGGTGCTACCTATAGGCGATCATGTATATCATCGTTCTAAACTCGATCCATTCTTGTGTGACCATAAATCCATCGCAACATACGCATTTCTGCAACACAGTTGTTGAACATGTCGAATCTTTGTAGGCCAACATTCTACTTCATACAACATAGCCGGTCTAATCGTCGTTTTATAAAACTTGTCTTTTAGCTTTTGTAGTACCCTCTTGTCACAGAGAATGTCAGAATCTTATCGCCACTTAGATCCACCCTGCTTTGATTCTATGGCTAACGTCTGCATCAATATCTCTATCCCTTTATAGCATCGATCCTAGATACCGAAATGTATCCTTTTTAGGCACTACTTGACCTTTCAAACTCACATCTTCCTCCTCCTGTGCAACTTCACCAAAGTCGTATCTCATGTATTCGGTTTTAGTTCTGTTCAATCTAAAACCTTTAGACTCAAGAGTTTGTCGCCATAATTCTAGTTTCCTATTTACTCCCGTCTGGCTTTTATCCACTAACACTATATCATCAGCGAACAACATACACCAAGGGATATCCCCTTATATGTTCCTGGTAACCTCATCCATTACCATGGTAAAGAGATACGGACTTAAGGCTGATCCTTGATAAAGTCCAATTTTAATCAAGAAGTAATCTGTGTTACCGTCGTTTATTCGAACACTAGTCACAACATTGTTATACATGTCCTTGATGAGGGTCACGTACTTTGATGGGACTTTATGTTTGTTTAAAGCCCACCACATAACATTTCTTGGTATCTTGTCATAAGACTTCTCCAAGTTAATGAAAACCATGTGGAGGTCCTTCTTCTGCTCTATAAACCGCTTCATAACTCGTCTTATTAAGAAGATTGCTTCTTTGGTTGACCTTCCGAGCATGAAACCAAATTGGTTTGTTGATATCAGCGTCGTTTCTCGCAGATATAAATCAATAAAGTTAATATTATATACTACCTCCATCCAAAACGAATGTAACCCTCACATCCCCAAGAGTCAAATATTCTTAATTTTGACCAAATATTATTAAAAAATATTAATATTTATAATATATAATAAATATTATTAGATTAGTCATGAAATATATTTTTATAATAAACTTAAGTAGGGATCTAACCGTAGATATCATCATTTATAAACTTAGTCCAACTTAATAAACTTAATAAGATCCTTTGACTTATCGGGAACGATATTTATTTATTTATTTGACAGAGAATATGTTTTGTAGGCTTCTGGCCCGGCCCGGCAGCCAAAACCGAAGCGTCGCTCACATAGTCACATCCATCTCCGACCCCTTCACCTTCTCCTTTCTTCAGCGCCGCGCCCGTGCACACGTCCGCGCCGTCGAAGCCGGCCCCCAGCCTCGGAGGCCTGCACGCTGCCGCGTAGGATCGGCTTGCTTCTGGGCGTCATCGCCGCCGACCTCCTCGTTCACCAATCTGCACCCTGATCGCCGTGCAGTGGAGACTAGGGGATCGATTCCCCTTCTCGGTAAGACGAAGAACCCTAGCGCGCTGTCACGAATTTATGTGGGGAATTGGGGTTTTGCCCCCGAACCGAACCCGAAATTTCATCTCTTTCTCTCTCATCAGTTCGTCGCGGATTTCTCGCTGCGTGCCGTATGGTGCGGCGAGTGATTCTCCAAGAAATCTGGGGTCGCTGATCTGAGGCCGCACAGAACGCAGCGGCAGCAATGATGATGTCGGACGACGACGACGACACTGAACCCCAGCTCAACGCGGTGGAGAGCTACTACTTCGTTGACCCCACGGACGAGAACGAGCCTGTCTGCTTCTGCACCCTGCCTTTCCGGTTCGGGGACACTGATGATCTTCCTGGCTGCAAGAAGAGGCTGGTGCTGCGCGGGACTGGTGACCCGGGCGTCAAGGTGTACAATGAGGTGGTGGCCTGGAGACTGGTGCTCGAGGGGAAGCAACCCCAGTTGGCGGTGCTCACAGCAGAAGGTAGACATTGGGTACGTCTCATTAGGCCCTTGAAAAGCTACGAGGAGATGATCAGGACTGTGCTGATCACGGCGCAGATGCTGCATTTTCTCAGGAGGAAGCCTCATGAGCCAGAGAAAACCTTGTGGAACCACCTTTGCAAAGTTTTTAAGTACATTTCTTGGCACACTCTGTTGCGTTTGTTCTTTTGGCAGATGTTGAACACTGATGCTTACAGATCTGACTTGTGCTTCTGCAGCAAGTTTGATGTCAGACCCTCAGAGGACGATTTCAGGAACCACCGCTCACTGATGAAGCAGTTCGCGGCAAAAGATCCTATCTTAGCAAAATCAGAGGTATCTGTTCTATTCTTGTTATCGAAATTTTCAATTGTGTTTGTTAGCATGGCACAATTGTGTCTACCATGAGCATGAAATAATCTACAAGTTGAGGGGTTAATAACATAATCACCTAAGGTGGCATTGTAAATTAGAAAAAATTGACACCCAAGTCGAGTTGAAGAGAACTCAAACCTAGGTGTCGGGGGTGTACACCCACACACCCACACCTCCAACCAATTGTGCTAGGCTCAGTTTTTGCTTAACCACGTAATCACACTTTGTTTTATGCCTAGCTGTGTTATGTAAAGTTGTAAACATTGTCCTTAATTCAATTTGCAACAAAAAACACGTTCTTGCTCTAAGATTGTAATTCTTTGGCATGTCTGTGCTCTACTATCTTTAGCTACCACTATAACCCTAGAGATGCAATATTTGATAATCTGGGTTTGTATTGCCATTGATTCATTGTTTGCTTCTTGATGCTTATAATCTTAGTTGATAATGACATGTAAAAGGACTGATCTGCACGTGATGCCAACTACAAGGCCTTTCTTCCTTCTCCTATCTCTATAATTAACTAAAGTGATTGGAACAACTTGTTATTGTGCTTGATTGCTGTTATTTGCAAGTCAAACTGACCTGGTATGATGATTATTTGACTGATTTTGCTATGATGATTATCTGATAGATTTTGCAAGTATTTCTTGAAGGAAGATCTAGAAAAAAATTCGCTGAGGTATGTGTATATGGTTCTGCATGATATTGAAAGTTTTGGAAGAGAAATTAACCACACATCTAGAAATTAACCACACATTAATTATTACTCTTAATATAATTTTGACTAGGTTGGTGCAGACCATATCGATGTCAAGCAGCCGTTCATCACTGATGATGAGGACATAGATGAGATGATTGTGGAAGATGCTGATAATGAATCTGATGAAGAAGAGGATGAAGATTTGTTTGATTCAATATGTGCCATTTGTGACAATGGAGGAGACATATTATGGTAGGTGGATTCCCTTGTGTGATTGAGTAGGCTACCTGAAAATCTTTTCTCTTTTCTTGAGAATCTAGGCAGCTTAGTTAGTATTTAGTTGTTCATGTCTTCAGTTGAGCACACACAGCATAACCATTTCAGATATATTTTACACGGCGATTAGGCCATAACCATCGCACAAAGCGGCTAGGATTACTTTTGTAAACACTGTTTATATTATATACTAAACTTAGGAAGGCCCATATGACATGCCTTAATGTCTACCTGTAGAGAGATCAATTGCTAATGTTAGGCTGTGAAGTTTGAACTGATAGTTAACACTATCATCATAAAATCGAAACAGAAGTGGTGGAAGAAGTATAATGTTTACAAAAATGCTGCTCATTTCACTGATGGAAATTGCATCTTACTGGAAAAATAATATACATGGTCAGAACTATATCTATATGTGTTACTATGAAGTAGATCATCGTAGTTACTCCATATCCTGAAAAGTTTTGTTATGGAAATTCCAGTAGTACTGTTGTTTATGAAATGAAGTGTGATATATTGATGTACAGAAAGCTCCTAAATTTGATATTACTTTCTCCCCAGCTGGATCAAGAGATTTAGTGTTTTCTATTGTGACACATGTCACATGAGCCATAACAAAAAGATAGATTGGATGGATTATATTTTGCATAATCTATACTCAAATAACTTCGCTTTTGAGATCAAGTTTAGTCGTAAAGTGCTCGAGTGCAAACCATGTTCCGAGGAGCAATTGCAAGCTTATACATTCTCTCACAGCTACAGGCTGAGATTATTCAAGTTTATAGTTTTCCTTAATATAGGAGCTGTATTATGATAGTAAATGTTGAAGGTCAAGGCATCCAATTTCTATAAATCTTATTCTCTAGTTCTTAGCCCCAGCTTTTGCTATCAGGGCACTGACATGCTGGTGATACATGAGCCCACTGGCCACTCACTTGCACAACCTCAGTGGACAGCTTGGTCACAGCATTTGTGAATGCATATCAATCATCTGTATGGAATCTGTGGTTTTGTATTTATTGCTTGTGTGTTTATCCCTTGTAAATATTTTGAAAAAAATACTAAATTTCTGAATGAAGTTTTTATAGACTTTATAGTTCCTTTTATTGCTAATACTTAATACGTAATTGAAACCACCTTGCATAACCTGGTTTATTGTGCCCTGTAATTATCATTTTTCTTATTTCTTCTTTGTTATGTTGAACTTCTTATGATTATCAATTTCCTAGCCATCTAATGTCAATAGTCTAATTTTGTCTCGTATATACTTGTTCCAACTGTCGCTGTGGCCATATTCTTGTGCTTATCATCATGTTAGCCATCTACTGTCCATATTCTAATCTTTTTCTTTCTGTGGTGTACTTGTTGCATTGTTCTACTATAGCTGTGATGGCCCATGTATGCGCTCTTTCCATGCAAAAGAAGGAAGTGGTGAAGACTCCTACTGTGATACCCTTGGATACACTGAGGCAGAAGTTGAGGTATGTGTTGTACCTCAAGTGATGCAAACATTAACTCGAATTTCTTGTTATGATTTTTCTATGTTGAAATTGTCTTTCTATTTTTTAGGCAATGAAATTATTTCTGTGCAAGAACTGTGAATATAAGCAACACCAGTGTTTCATCTGCGGAGTGTTGGAACCTTCAGATGGAGCAGCAGCTAAGGTATATGGGTACTCCAAAGAACAAATGGATTTACGAATAAACACCCACAACTTTTTCATCTGTCTTACACCTGCAAGGATCTGTAGTAAGTCTATATATAAGGAATAGGAGGTGAAGGAATATTTTGCTGCTTTCCTCCAGTTGTATGTAGGGATGAGTGATCATGCAACAATGCTTGGGCTCATGAGCAAGGATACAAGTGGGTTTTGTCTGTGAGTCCACAAATAGGCCATTTTTTCCTGGGGTCTGAGGTCTGTAGAACCGCGTAAAAATAACCTATTTGTGGACTCATGGACATGCCCTTTTGAAAATCCACTCATGATACTAAGTCATAAGTGGGTCACTGGGAACAACTTTGCTTTTTTTTTTAGATAAGTTAAATTCTATTGTGCTGGGATGCTCTGTCATGCCACATAAAATGGTCAATGGGTGTAGTTGTACCTTACCTACTTTTTTTTTGCTACATCAAACTTTTGGCTCTTGCCCTGATGCAACATCTGTATTAGTTACATCTTTTCCCATAAAATCTAATCTGTGGCAGGATTACTCAGAAATCCCTGTAAAAAGTTGGTCGTTATGACTTTACACTGTTAATCTTGTAGCCTTATGATTTTGATTAGCTTCCATCTGATTTTCAGTTTGCAGTAGTGTTATTCTCCTTGCTGAATACTCCCTCCATCCCATAATAGAAGACCTAGCATTCAAAATTTGTCCAAATTAGTTGTCATTCTCACTTCCCAATGCATCTCTCTCTCTCTCCTCATTTCTTGTGCACTCCACCTTTTTCACTTCTCCTGTGTCCAAAGTTAAAGTCTTCTATTATGGGACAAAGGGAGCACACATCATGGTATTGTCATATTGGCACACTATCCAAGCTGTAAACATTCTTGTCCAGTTACAGGATTAGGGCCAGTTTGGCAGGGCTTCCCTTCCTGATTCTTTGAGCTTCGATGGAGTGATTCTGGTGGGGGAGCAGGTGAGAATTGATTATGAAGTGATTCTAGTGGTGATTGAACGAGGAGCAGTGGGGAGTGGTGGAGAGCAGGTTTTTTTAGCTCCTAGCTCGTAGTGTAAATGGAGAAGTGATTCTCGTCAGCTCCCCACCAGAATCCAGTTGCATTTTAAGCGTTTGGTAGGGATCCACATAATCCACTCTGAAGAAGCTGGGAGTGAAGCTCTGCCAAACTGGCCCTTAGGCTTTGAACTTCTATAAAACTAACTCATCCTATGTAGGAGGACTACTACTACAAAGTTAGCAATGTTTATGAAGAAGGTGATAAGGCTAGTTTGTATTCTGAAATGATATGAAATATTGCAATAGTTCTAGCTTCTTGACTGTAAGGTCGTTTGACACCAATCATCAATGCTGGTAGCATCAGTGTATTTCTGATAATCAGAGGTAAATACTTTAATAGAGGTAGCATAGCATGTCCCTATTTTAGTGCCTGGAGGCATATTTGCAGGTGCAAAGTCTTGCTTTGTGGGTAAACAGGCATGAATATGTTCTACTAGCACTTTGCCCGTATATCTTCTGGAAGGCTTAACATGGAGCCAAATTCAAACTATACCAGACTCTAAACCCTGCATCCTTGGGGCTATACAGATCCACACAATACCTTGGCTTAGGGGGCCCAATATAAAACCTAACCACATTGCTGTTGGGATATAAACTGCACTGCAGTACTGCACAGAGGTGGGCATCCTCTCCTACAACATTAGCACCCACGGCAAGCTGCAGCATTTGTTGCTCCACAAGCTCAAGCAACAGGCCTACAAGTACTGTTTCTTTTGCTTCTGTTAGGGGCTGAGCGTGATCCGCCGAGTTAACAGCCCGCTAGAGCAGGTGTTTCCAGAAGGTCTCACTGGTGGTTATCCCTTTGTCGTCAAGTTACGAGTCAATTGAGAAGGTTATCTTTAAATAAAGAAGTGTGTGTGTGTGTGTATCCAAGAGAAATTACACTAGCTGTCCCTAAACTATTATATCATTCTCATCCAGGTCCCTAAACTATGAATTGCATATCTAGGTCCCTAAACTATTAAGTACCTCAACCCTGGTCCGAAGCAGCCATGTCATAACCCATTAGCTGATGTGGCACTCCAACATCGAACCGACATGTGGGTCAACATTATGTTACATGGGTGGTCCTTAAACTATTATATGGTTCTCATTGTGTGTGTGTATCCAAGATTAACTTACACTAGCGGTCCCTAAACTATTATGTCATTCTCATCTAGGTCCCTAAACTATGAAATTGCATATCTAGGTCCCTAAACTATTTAAGTACCCCAACCCCGGTCCAAAGCAGCCATGTTACAACCCATTAGCTGATGTGGCACTCCAACATGTGTGTGTGTATCCAAGAGTAAATTACACTAGTGGTCCCTAAATTATTATGTCATTCTCATCCAAGTCCCTAAACTATGAAATTGCATATCTAGGTCCCTAAACTATTTAAGTACCTCAACCCTGGTCCAAAGTAGCCATGTCACAACCCATTAGCTGACGTGGCACTCCAACATAGAAATGACATGTGGGTCCGCATCATGTAATTACATGGGTGGTCACTGAACTATTATATGGTTCTCATCTAGGTCCCTAAACTATGAAATTGCTTATATGGGTCTGAATCTATTTAAATACCCTAATCCCACTCCAAACTAGCCCCTTCACTCCCCATTCATTACGCGGGATAGGCTTATGAGCCTTTGCTCATTGTTGACCTCCTTGCGTTTGCTTCTCAACTTGTCTGGGTATGAACATATTTATGCCGCCTGCAAGCACAGTTGGATGGGGCCGGGCATTGTTGTCGGGTGCGCGCCTCCACCACGGTGATGAGGAGCTATTGGCCAGCACGCTCGCGAAGCTGTTGCATAACAGCCTTGATGCACCTGGACATGAAGCCGAGCTCCTCATAGTTGCAGCGTGGTAGCCGATGGAGCGGAGCACGGTGAGTGCATCGGTTCATCGGCAGAGAGACAGGTTGGCTGCTTTGGACTGGGATTGGAGTACTTTAATGGATTAGGGACCTATATGTGCAATTTTTACTGTTTGGGGATGTGGGTGAGAATCACATGATAGTTTAGGGACCGTCCGTGTAATTATGATCGGTGGACCCACATGTCAGTTCTACGGTGGACGCCATGTCAGCTAATAGTGTGTTGTGGCTGCTTTGGACCGGGATTGGGGTACTTGAATAATTTAAGGGCCTAGCCATGCAATTTTATAGTTTAGGGACCTAAATGAGAATGGCGTAATATTTTCGGGACCGCCTGTGTAATTTAATGGAAAGACTCTAGAAACCTCTTCTTAGGGATCCCAGCTATAAATATAAGTCCGTGGTTTCATGTAATGATTAAGGAATAGAAGGGACAACACTCTACTCCCAAGCCTCCTTTTTCCTGTAGCTGCACTCTTCCTCAGTGCAGCTGCTGCTTTTGCCGTTGCCTTCGACAGTGGTTGCCGGCTATCATCTGTTTTGCCCCAGTTTCCCCTAAATTCCTCAAATCCGTAATCCCAATAATAGCACCCAACTTTTTTTTTTTGAAATTACAGGTGCTTCAAGAGTCCTTGATGAGCTATTTTTAAAATGTTTTTCTTGCTGCTATCGGGCTGTACTAGCTGATTTATCGGATGGCACATTGGTGCTGATACTGACCTCTGATGAGCTGGACAGGCACATGGTGAGTTAGGGGGAAGCCATACCTGTTAAGGTTAGCGGGCATGTTGTGGGCAAAAACTGCCCAGTGGGCATGGGAATATTCAGTCGTTCTCTCCCTTATTCCCTCCCTCCTCCTGTTGTCACCGGGACTGCAAGTTCTTGTGTGCTGGGAGGCATTTGCACACCTGCCCTCTCGGTCCTTGTAAACTCTCTTTCTATCTTAATTGAATGGCAGAGCTCCTGCCCGTTTCATTCAAAAAAGTTCAGTTGCTATCTGTATCCATTGTGCCTAGTCGCCGTCAGCCGGTCATTAGCATCTGGCTGTATAACTCTTTGAAATTAATCTCTTTTTACCTGTGGCAGTTTCCAAATTGAGCAATGTTATTGTTCTAGCAGTTTGGAAGTGCAATCTGACAAACTGCTACTCCAGATCACTTAATTGCTATGCAATTTCAATTCAAGATTTACTTTTATTTGCTAACTCCTGCACTGCTCGTTAGGTATTTTTATGTAACAATGCTACATGTGGGCACTTTTACCACCCGAAATGTGTTGCCCAGCAACTTCACCCTAACAACATTGATGAAGCCTCAGAATTGGAGAAGAAGATAACAGAAGGGTTTTCATTTACGTGCCCAATTCACTGGTGCTTTCATTGCAAAGGTTTGGAGGATAGAACACAAGGGCCTTTGCAATTTGCTGTTTGCAGACGCTGTCCGAAGTCATATCACAGAAAGTGTTTACCAAGGTTCTGTTATAGAACAAGCTCTCTGTCTTGCTTTTTAAATATAATATGTGTATAGTCTCTTATTCTTGAAATATTTGGAATTGTTTCGCAGAGAAATTTTCTTTGATGAAATTGAAGAGGAGGGCGTCATCATACGGGCTTGGGAATTATCGAAAAGAATTTTGATATACTGCCTGTATGTAACCTTGTCACTTTTTAAATTCCATGTATATATGCTGCTTAGATCACAGACTTCTCATAAACTGTCACAGGGACCATGAGATTGATAGTGACATTGAGACACCTGTCAGAGATCATATAAAGTTTCCAAAGATTGAAAAACCACTTCAATTTGTAAAGGGTGCTAACTTGTTGCGTAAGAAGAAAAAGAGGACTTACAGTGAGACAGTTCTTGAGCAACCGCCAAAAGATACTGTGAAGATGAAAAGCAAGATTCGCATGCAAGAAAGAGAACAAAACAAACAAAACACCAGAGAAGTTTCTGCGAAGAGTTTCACTGAAAACCCTGTTGACAGACCTGTAAAGAAAAAAGCCAAGTTGAAAGAGAAAATACAGTTGCCATATGTGGCCAAGGATCATTCTGTAAGCAGTCCAAAATCTGTGAAAGAGCAAGAACAAGAGTTACCTTCTTTGCCCTTATCTGCCACTAGGAAGACTCCCCCGAGTTTATTTCCTATAGTGGACAGTGAAACTGAAAAGAGGTGAGTCACTTGGGTATATAAACTATAAAGTACGTGGGAATGAAATCTCCAGTTGACATGGTATGTGACTTTGTGTGCAAAATTTGCTAGCATGCATGAGTTTCCTACATGATTCCATCAGACCGGATGAGGGCTTTGGAATTTTGTTTGTTTATCAGGTCTGATGAGGGCATTGAAATTTTGTTTGTTTATCATGTCACAGAATCCTCTTCTGCCTTAAGTTAATCTCATGTTTTCATCTTAATGCCATGTATGCACATTCTATATGATGATGACAACAATGTTTGAAGTCTGCAATTCTGCATACTGTTATATGACTATATGAGATCTTCCATTTGCAGAGTGATTACCATATTGAGAAATAAAGTCTCTTCGTTGACAATAAAAGATGTTACAAGGAACTGCAGTTTGCCATCAACTCATGTATACTCTGGCAGACTGACTGACAAGATACCACAGGGAAAACTTGAGCGTTCTGTTCAGGTGCTTCCTTGTTCCATCATATACAAATTAAATTCATGCTTATCATTATTTTGTTTGACATTTTGAGGATGCCATTTTAGGCTGTAGAAGCAGCTTTAAAAAAGCTGGAAAATGGAGGTAGTGTCAATGATGCTAAAGCAGTATGTGAACCTGACGTTTTGAGACAGCTTGCAAGGTGGCATGTAAGTAAATACTGAATACTCCCTCTGTCCTGGAAGGCTAGAATATAGTGCATTATGACTTCTAAAAGTTCTACTGAAATCTAATGCATTCTACATGGTGTCAATGCTTATATTTGGTAAAGTTTGTTAAAAAGGAAACCATAATTTGAGCAGAAACACCTTAATTGGGTTTACTCTATGTTTACATGCGTCATTTGAGGATTCCCTTAAGTTGCCTTAAAATTTTTGGAATGCACTATATTACAGGACTGAGGGAGTAGATAATTATCCATTATTTTGCACTACTTTTTTTGTTGGCATTTAGTGCAGTGCTCCCCTTCCTGCTTTGAAATCCCTTTTGTTACTTTAAGCAGATCTGCAATAGATGTGGTTCTGAAGCACGATATATATTTTGTTTATTTATGCCTCAGTCAGTACTTGGCTTGTTATTTCATCACTATACTGTCGTCATCAATAAATCTCTCCCGGGTTTCATCTCCATATGATTATCTGGGTTTTAAGTTGTACTGACGAGCATATCCCAAACTGTCCCCAATGTTAGTACATTGTACTCGGAGCAAGTTCCAAGTTTGTCTCATTCTATTTTGATGGAAATGACATTATGAATATATTGTTTCTAGATGGATACATAGTTGAATGAAGATTTCAGTACTGATTGTTATAATGGACTTGTGATATGTTGCGATCACAAATTCTCCTCGTTATTGTAGTGTTTCTCTTCAAGTTGTTTGCATTAATAAGCACTTACACTTTAGCTAGTAATCAACCAAATTACTAACTCATATTTTTCTTCCTCCTGCCAGAGTAAACTCAGAGTATATATATCTCCTTTTATTCATGGCACAAGGTACAGTTCTTTTGGTCGACATTTTACAAAGGTGGAGAAACTTGTTGAGGTATGTTGAAATCCACCTATTATGTTGATATAGCATGTGTAATAGGGGGTTGTATATGAAAAAAGGTTATTACATCACTTTCTTAAACTGTAATTTTTCTGCATCTGTTGTGAGATTTTACTTATTCATTTCGTGTGTTGTGAAATTTTTCTGCATCTGTTGTTGACGGGCAACATCACCAATAGCATTTGTGAAATGACATGCTTTCAATTTGCTAAACTGTTGAAAAGATCTCTGTTATAGTCATGGGTTGTGTTGGGTCCTCGAAACACACATCTTAATGTATAGATTTGCTTTCTGTGTCTCTTGAACTTGATTCATGCGCACTTTGTTGATAAGTGCTACTGTGCTATCCTCATGGAAAATATAATCTCAAGACTTCAGAATAAGAATATGAATGTGGCACGTGTGTTAGTTTATGTGCATTGTGCACATTTCCCACTGCTCACTCTACAAGGAGTGGGCATGTGTGAAAATGAATCGAGAGAAAAAGCTAGGAAAGAAAAGGCTACATCGTTTTTGTATGTGAGATCCCATTCATATAACCTCTATAAGAGCTATAATCTGTTATTTCTCTTGATTGAAAAATGGAGATGGCTAAGTTATGGACATATCTAGTTTAAGCAGTTTGAAACTTCTCAAGACTGCAACCATTGGAAAATTTAAACTAAAGCTAAAGTTCAACCACTGAAAAATGTGTGCATGGATGAAAGGAACCATACTTCCCATTTATATCTGTTATTTCTCTTGATTTAAAATGGGGATGATTAAGTTTGGACATATCTAATTATCGAACTTAAGCAAGTTTTGAAACTTGTCAAGAATGCAACCCATATATATATATATATATATATAGAGCCTCAAGTTCAAGCACAGAAAAATGTGGTGTCCATGGAAGAAAGGAATCATTCTTGAAAAACAAAGTATAACATAAGCAAAGTAAATTTTTCTCTAAAAATGGCACCTACAAAAGAAAGAATGTTTGTTTGAGCTGCAGCATTTGGGCTTTTGGATCAAAAGCTATAGCTTTTGGCTTCCGGTTCTTGTTTTTTTGCTATTGTTTTTTGTAATAAATTTTGAGCTTCTCAGCGTACCAAAGCCAGAAAAGCTCCTCAGAACATGCTTTTAAGCTTTTAGTTCTTTTCCTCGGAAGCCAGCTTTCCAGCTTTTTAAAAGCCAACTCAAAAGCTAGGCTATTTGTTTCAGCTTCTGGCTTTTGGGTGGCAGAAGCCAGATAAAAGCTGAAACAAACAGGGCCTAAGAGTTGGCTCCATTCTCGCCTTCATCACTGGTACCTACACACCTGCCTCCAGGTGTGCAGGTGCAGCTGCCTTTGGCTCTTCACTGCATGGATCTGTGGAAGCCGAATGTTTCTGCTGGTGCATGACAGGCACACAACGAGAATGGGGTACCAGGCTGAAAATTTTGCTATCTACTAGTGAATTTGAGGGACGGGAGTGGATGGGAAATGGGTTGCAAGAAGAAATGGAAGGAGTGGGATTATGTCAGTTTCAGGGGTTGAGGCTGTATGAGGAATTGGGGTAGATGGAGGTGGAAGGAGTTGGGATGAGAGGAAAGTTATGGATTTCTTAGTACCTAATATATTGTGTACCAGTCATCCCCTTCATATAATTCGATATCATTATTCTTCATTAATGTTCTTTTTTCTTTGTACAGATTGTTGATAGACTTCACTGGTATGTGGAACCTGGTGACACGGTATGTTTTTTTCCTGGTATAAGCATCCATCAATTGATCTTTCCCTCCTTTGAAGTACTTCTTTTTAGTAGTTTCAAAAAGCTCAAATAAGTCACCAAGAGAAAAAAAAATCTCTAAATGTCCTGTGCACATATACCTATTTTTGGGTATTCATACCCACTCTGCAAATCCACATCCACATCAAATGGGTAGGGTATGGGTAGAAAATTATTTACCCATTAGTAATGGGTAGGATCTGGATATTACCCACTAGTACCCAATGGGCCAAGATTATCAAGGAGTATTCCATCTCCAAACTGATTAACTTGATCATTATCCAGTGGGTTTAGCCAAATGGGTATGTATGAGATTGGGGAGGGTGAGAAATGGAAAATGATGATCTGGGTTTGGGTGTGGGCAAGCATTGAGTGTGCCCAAGCCCTCCCTAGCGAGTGGTGAGAGGTATAGTGCATGTATTACTTGACCCATTGTTTTGTATGTCTTTTGCCTATGAATGTCTGTAATCAAAATGACGTCCTAATGCTTGTTAATATGGATCATACATTTGACATATCATTGTAGAGATCAACTGTGTTAGACTGTGGTTCTTATGCTTATCAGTTTCTACACATGATATGAAATGGATTTTAGTAACAGAACCAGGGGTGGAACTGAAGGTTCTTAGTGAAGGTATTGGCTAAGATTTGTATTGTGTTCAATATTTTATAGCATGGCGTCTTTGTTTGTCAATATTGAAGTTATACAAGTAAAATTGGTTATAATGTTGTTTGTTACATAAATTTATGAACATCCTAAACTCCATTGATTCTGCAGATAGTAGATTTCTGCTGTGGGGCAAATGATTTTAGCCGGCTTATGAAAGAAAAACTTGACAAAGATCAGAAAAAGTGCAATTTCAAGAATTATGATCTTATCCAACCACAGGTAAGATTGATGACAATTGAGTCCTTTGTTTGATTTTCCTTTATAACATGACCTTTTTTGTAACATCAAATAGAACTCTTAGAAGTTGGTGCGTGAATTACATCTATGGGGGTGATCTTTAGGGTCTGTTTGCTTTTCATCCAGGCGAAGCCTGCCTGGTGCAAGCAAGCATTTGCCTGAGTCTGTGATTCATGCCTGGTTCGCATGATGCCAGGCAGGCACTAAAGCAAACAGCTCCTTACTGTTTCATGGCCAGAGAGTTCCTTTACTGACTTTTAGTCCGTTGTTATTGTTTCCAATTTAACTTATTTTTATCATGCTATTCATTCAAAGCTTCACCTAAAGATATCAGGGTTAGCTGTTGATCATGATTAGTTTCTCTTCAGAGTTTCTGGCTTCATGTAACATGTAAATGTATGTGCTTCCTGCATTGCAGCATCGCTTTTGCTTTGAAAAGAGGGACTGGATGACTGTGCAGCCAAATGAGCTGCCTCGTGGATCCCAACTAGTATGTTCTATTTGTTATTTATTGAGACAATTTAATCTATCTTATATAATTATAACATTCAATTGTTTATTGAGTAGATTATGGGGCTTAATCCTCCTTTTGGAGTCAAAGCAAGTCTTGCAAACAAATTTATTGACAAAGCATTGACATTCAAGCCTAAGCTGATTATACTAATTGTCCCTAAAGAAACTAAAAGGTATGCAACATATTCCTGTTATCTGAGTATTTTGTTCATAACATCTTCTCACATTTCCTTGGGAAATTGTGTTTCCTCTACCTTCATCCACTGGATATACAGGTTAGATCAGAAGAGGACACCTTATGATTTGATTTGGGAGGACAGTGAGGTTCTTGCTGGGAAGGTAATAACTTATATTACATTATATTGAATTTCTTTTGTTTGTTTTTCTCTAGTTGTTTTACCTAATATCTTTCTTGAAATTGGCAGTCCTTCTATTTGCCTGGTTCTGTGGATCTTAATGATAAAACAGTTGAAGGGTGGAATGCATCTGCACCACCCCTCTATTTGTGGAGTCATCCTCATTGGACAAAGAAGCACATGCAAGTGGCTGAAGAGCGTGGTCACACTTGTATGGGGAAGATAGCTTGCCATGTTGAAGAGAATAATCTTTCAGATGATCTGCCCGTGAGGAAACAATCTGAGGCTACAAAAAAATGGAACTCCAGATCAGGGAAAGAGACTACATGCAATGACAGAAAGGCCAATCTACTTGATGGTCCTACTAAGAAGCAAGCAAGATCTGAAGAAGAGAAGGAAACTCTAGGGAAGATAGAACACCATGTGAAAGAGGCTAATATACCAGATAACCTCCCAGTGAAGAAACAAGCTGAAGCTTCCAGCAAAGTCATATCTCATTCGGGAAAAGATAGAGAGAATGGCAGGTACAACAGCAGGAGATATGATAACAGGAGTAGGAAGTGGACACCTGATCACGTAGAGAGCCTCCCCCCTGAAAAGCAAGTGGAAGTTGCATATGTAGAAACAAAAGTTATTATTCCTAGCAAAAAGATCACTCATAAAGAACAAAGAGGTGCTTGCCGTGAAAATAGAAGTTCTTGTGTGGAGGAAACTAAGAGCGCTCGGTACAACTACGAGAAAATTGCAGCAGCGATGTCGAACATGAGGTCCAGAGAGGGAGGGGATTCTGACATGAGTATCTCACCCCCAGTCAGTAGCAATGCTCGAAGCAAATCCATGAGCTATTCCCCCTCGAGACCAATTGAACACTTTGATACGACAGCTCACCCGGATAAATACATTGACTCTGTGCTCAATAGAGCTGCTCATCAGGACAGTTGTTTGGCATTTAACAGGAAATATGATCCTATCTTTACTGACATTGATGATAGCTCAAGGATGAGGGGTTTCAGCATCGAAGAAGTGACCAAGCCGTATATTACTGCTCCAACCAGTGATCCGTACCGCTTACAGTCTAGAGGAGATGGCAGCTTCTACAGGCATCCGAGCTCAGAGGATTTAAACATCAATGCTGATGTGCATATGCAAGGATACAGTGCAAGATATGGACAAAATGGTGGTGACAGTTACCCACAAGCTCGTACGGTTCCACTAGCAACAGACTCGCAAACACATCAAAGAATGCATAGTGGAACAAGTGCTGATAATTACCTGTCGACAGGATACTCCCTTGGATCTTCAGGTGCTCGCTTTAGCCAACCAGCTTCAACTGTTCCCTGTTTTGGGCTCCCAGGTGCAAGTTCACAACGAGGCTCAAGCTCAGTAATGGACAAGTATTCTTATGGGCTCTCGGGTCCGACTGTACCACAGAGCTCAGTCATTGACAGATATGCTGCATCCCTCGATGGAACGAGCTCCTTGCCTGAACAGTACCCGTTCAGACAATCTGGCTCTTCCCGTGGCGGGTGGCCTAATATCTGATCGCCGGAACTCAATCTAAGTTTTTTAAGGCAGAAACTGTGGGGGGAGTTCCCCACGGTACTTCAGTTTTCGTTTTTAAAGGGGATATATAGACATGTTATCAAAGTTATGCAGCTTCTGACCTGACCTGGCGTAACATGGTAACTATGTTAGTATTCCACAGGCATGCATCCATGCAGGGTTGTGTGTTAAGCAAAATTGTTTCTTATAAGGTTCCATGCTACATGTAGGAGTAGTCATGACAAATGCCATGCCAGCACCTACGATATATGCCCTTTCCTTGGAGATCCGACGACATGCCCTTTGGCAGCCCATGATATCACTGATTGTACAGAAAAAATGAACGACTCCTGCCTTCGTTATCCTAATATAACATCTTTTGTTGCAATCTCTTTTGCATAGCATTTTCGGGAAAATTGAATGGCTGTAACATACGCGGCCTGTTAGTTACGTGTTTTATTATATATAAATAAATATAAAAGGAACGGAATCCGGCTTCATCCCCTAGAACCAAGGGAATCAGACCTGGCTGTAACAAACGCTGCCTGTTATGTGTGTTTTTTAGGTAAAAGGAACGGAATCCGGCTTCATCCCTTAGAACCATGGAAATCAGACCACATATTATAGAAGATTGAACTAACATAAAACACAACTTGAAACTTAATTCTAACATTATTTGGTCATCCAAAGGAAGAAAGAAATGCAAAGTTGTTGCTTCTAGCTCTTGTTACATTTTGGTAAATATGTTTTTTTGTTGCCATCACATTGTTGTAGCTTGGCACAACGTTGTAACCAGAGTGCTCCCCTGAACAAGACCTGTAAAAAAAAGGATGTCCCCTGAACAAGACCTGTAAAAAAAAGAAGGTTAGCATTTGTCGGAAACACTTTGTTCTTTGTAAATTATATTGACCACCAAATGGATGCACCTCCTATTTATTAATAACAAAGAATTATTTATCTCAGTCTTTGTTTGTACCATCTATGAAAAAGGTCTATAACATCCAAAAGTGGTCTTAAGCCTAAAACAATATGTACTGCACGTCAATGAAACATTGCATAAAGGCAATAAAAAACAGAATTGCTAGGCGTCAACCGACTGATTTGGGTGCCTCTGTCAACCGATTTTCTGTGCGTTCGATCGATCCGCATCCGCGCCCCAGGACGCCCGATGCGCTCGCAGCTTCCTCCCTGCGCCGCGCTCTGCCCCCAGGTCGCCCGATGCGCTCGCGCGCTTCCTCCCTGCTCCGCGCTCTACCCCCAGGCCGCCCGATGCGCTCCGCCCTTAGGCGCCGCCGCCCCGGCGAGGGCGCAGGCATCCCCGGCGCGTGCACAGCCGTCCCTGGCAGCCGCACCTTGCGCTGGCGCGGGCGCAGCCCCCTCCTGCCCCTAATCTATGAACAGTTTGTATTTTTTTTTTAAATTTGTGAAGAATTTGACATATATCTGGAATTCATAGAAATGATTTATTTTTTTTTTGAAAAATTTAGCATATATTTGTGTTATCCCTAAATTACATCTACGCTGATGAAATCACTATAAATATAGTAATAAGACGGTGTAAATATAGGTAGAAGATAGTGTAAGTGCATTGAAAAAATTCAGTTGACAGGAGGGGCCAAAACAGCTGAATATCACCTAGATAGATCCACAAGTGTTGAATTGTTTCATTCTTGCAACAGAAGGCACAAGATATATTCTCATTCCAATTTATCTTTGGTTAAAGTAAACCCCCGTTTAGTGTAGTTACGTGTATCTATTTTAGTTATAATTCATCTGCAAGAGTTGGTCGATTTGTAATGTTTTGGCTAAGAGCATTTTAATAGATTACTTATCTAGCATCTCCTAAAAGTCTATATAAGTGATCTCTTATATTATTAGTAATGTAACTTTTTGTTCTCGTCTCATAATAGATTACCAATACCTTCAAAGTGGATGGGGAGAGGAAGTTGAGCACCTACATTTGTGGGAGAGAGGAATGTATTTTAAGTAGTTACTTAAAACTTTTAGGTAACAATCCCTTATATTGTATATTTTTAGTATTAGGATGAGATAAGTAAACTGTTAGACATGCTCTAAGGTCCTTGTTAATTCACAAACTCATAGGCAAAGGGCTCCTCAAACCTCTGTCCCTAACTCTTATTCTCACCCTAGCTCAAAGGCCCCCCACCATCCACCGTATCTCACCGTTGTTGAACTTGGAAAAGGGGGGTGGTGGGCTTCTGGTATGAGTATATGACCTCTTCCTCATCGGAGAGGGATACTAACATGTGTTTTGGGTTTGAGAACAAACTGAGACGTGATGATCTCGTCTATGTACTTAGATGTAATGATCTCATCTTTGTATTTTAGGATGAGATTGTCGCATCTTGTGTTTGGTTGAGGGGATGTAACCTTGTGCTGCTAGCCTTGCCTTGTTTCTTACTACCACACCATCCTCATTTTGCTGGTTTCGGAATACCTATTTTGTTCTAATTACATTGTAGCCTTTGGGTCTCTCCACTAACTCCCAAACTTGGTTTCTAGTGAAGTTGTTGAGCTCTTCATGTATATCATTTACTCAATTCGGATCTCTCAAAAGCTTCATCTATATTTGATGGTTCAATTGATGACACAAATGAGTAGTGCTCACAAAATGACGCGAGTCTTGATCTTGTTTGCACACCACTCCTCAAATCTCCAACTATTTGATCCAAAGGATGATCTCTTGCAATTGCTTGACTTATTGTTGGAGGGCCACTAGAACTTGATGGTTCAAAACTAGATTGCACATTTGAACTTGGACTAGCACTTGTAACTTGTATTTGATCATGAGAGTCTCTTGTACTTGGAGTGTATTCTACTTGCACACTTGATGTAGCATTGGCTTGAATTGAATCATCAACTTGAGTTTGAGCTTCTCTAGGTCTTATATCTCCAAGAGCCATATACTTCATTGCTTCTTCCAACTTAGCTCCTCTCACATCATCTAAGTTTTCATCTTCAACTTGAGATCCATTTGTCTCATCAAATTCCACATCATGAACCTCCTCAACAAAACCATATATCTTGTTGTACACTCTATATGCTTTGCTTTTTGAGGAATAACCAAGAAAAAATCATGTGAAACTCCAACCAATGGGCCAGTTGGGCCAGACCAAATTCATGGTACTGTAGCACCGAGGCACAATAGCTTCGGCACAATTGAAAGCTCTAGTTTGATTTTGGTGAATTGATGAAACCCCATGTGCTAATCCCTGCTCTAACTGATCATGAGATATGTTAGTACACATTCCAAGTGGTGGAGAAAATGGATGAAGATCATGAAGATGGCCATGGTGATCACGTGCTCGGGCTTAGAAAAGAAGAAAGAGAAAAACAAAATGGGCTCAAGGCAAAGGTGATAACCATAGGGCCATTTTGTTTTGGTGATCAAAACATCTAGTGTGTGTGATCACATTTAGGATAGATAGTCGTACTATTAAGATGGGTGAAACTCGTCAAGAAATACGGTTATCAAAGTGCCACTAGATGTTCTAACTCATTGCATATGCATTTAAATTCTAATGAGTGCTAACACCCTTGGGAATCGGATTAGAATGTTGCTAACTCACGTAGACAAGTGTTGGAATACTTGGAGTTGGTACACATGCACAAGGGTGAAGTGATCGCTCTTGAATAGAGTGGAGACAGGGGCATCGGACCCTGGCTCAGGAGGCATTGGACCCTAGCCAGGGAGAGTCCGATGGCTAACCCTAGCTGAGTGGCATGCGCACGGTAGTGTCGAACCGAGGCTCGCGGGGGCGTCGGACCGACCGAGCGCACTGTTCATTCTGTGCCGCGTGAAGGAGTGAGCGGGGACACGACGCGTGGTAGCGTCAAACCCTGAGCTATGTCCAACGATTTTCAGCGCTTCTAAACCTCTCGGTGTAGATTTCACAAGAGTCGGACCCTCCCTATTCAATGTTCGACGATGAGTCCGACGCTGAGTCTGACGGTGGCGATCAACGCACAACAGAGAGATGTTGAGCATACAATGGTCGATTTGATTTGTTTTGGACACGTGGCAATGCGTGGTTGGCTGTGACAGGCGTCGGACCCTGGCGTCGGATGGTCCGACGCCCCGTATCTGCGGGTCCGACGGTCACTTAAGTGGCCTAACGATCACTAGATGTTGGGGGTGTCAATTTAAGTGGAAGGGCCAGCCTTGGGTGCCTCTCTTGGCCCTTGGACATACTTTTCATCCCTTAGAGCTGAGCTACTCGTCTCCATCCACTCCTACTTGATTGATTCATCATTTGGTGAGATTGGAGAGCATCCAAATGCATTTCTTTGAGTGATTGCATCTAGAGGCACTTGGTGATTGTGTGTCGCTGCGGATTTCGCTTGTTACTCTTGGTGGTTGCCGCCACCTAGACGACTTGGTGCAGCGAGGATCGTTGAGCGGAGGAAGGTGATTGTCTCCGGCTCCGATCGTGGTGATTTTGAGGGGTTCTTGACCTTTTCCCGGCGGAGAGCCAAAAGGTACTATAGTGGATTGCTTGTAGCTTGTGGATCCCCATCTTGTGTTGGTTGTGCGGCACCCGATTATGGGTTAGGCATGTGATTCCTATTAGCGCGTGAACCTCAAAGTGGGTGAATCGCTACAACGGGGACTAGCTTGCCGGCAAGCAAGTGAACCTCGATGAAAAATTATTGTGTCATCTTGTCTCCGAGGAATTCATTTGGTATTCATTGTAATTGATTGGTCTTCACTTGTCATGATGGTATAACTCACTACCTCTCTTGTGTATTTACTCTCCTAGTGTAGCTAAGCTCTTTAGTGTAACTAGTTTTGAGAGCTAGCTTGTGTCTTGTTTTGTTTGGTTAGTGAGGCTCTTTAGTTAGTCTTTGAGAGCTCACTAACTTAGTCGTAGTGACCTAGCCTTATGTGTGACATAGAGACTATAGAAACTAGATTTGTGGATAGGTGGCTTGCATTTTTAGTAGGCTAGCGCAAAACTTGTTTTGCCTCATATTTATCT